TTCCGTAGTAGCTGGAAGAAGAGAGGTCTTTCCAGGTAGGGCGACCAGTTTAAGGAAAGGCTTAGGAGTAGGAATTAAAGTGCGCTGGAGGCCAAAGGGGGGAGACTCGGTTAAGAAAATAAAAATTATTCCTTGTGGGCCGCCTTCTCTTTTACGTCCTGTTTCAGCTGAGGGAAGAGACCAGCTGCAGAGGAGGGCTCCCCTCAGGGACAGGAGCTCAGCACCCCTGGCTTCCTACAGCCCTACCTGGAGCCCGGACTCAACGGAGGATGTTCAGGGTCCCCAGGGCAAGGGGCCTGTTCTCAGAAGGCCCTCATGCCGCAGGCTTCGAGCTTCCGGGAGGAAGGGTGAGCAAGCCAGGTGGTTCTGTTTTCTTTTTGGAGTCCTGGCCAGTTTCAATTTATATAACACAGCTTAATCCACAGAAACAGGCGCCTGGAGGCAGGTTCTTTCTTTTTTTTTCCTCTCCAAGACATGGAGACCTTTATTTTCTCCCTACACCGCAAACCAGTGCTGTTAAATAATATTGGATAATTGCACCTGTCGTCCTCCCCATATTGTGCTGAGGAAAAATAATTGCTGGTTTTCTGCTTTGCAGTTTAGCTGTGACTCCGTCATTTGACTCGGAGCATGTCATTTTCTCCCATTTTAGACTGTGTACAGTCAAACTCTGTGAAAGGACTCACAGATAGCGGCCCCGCGTGTGTGAGTGGGCGCGGGCCTCATTCAGCAATGATTTCTAATTTATACAGCATTGAAAATCCACAGCTATAAATAAACAGTTCTGGCTGGCTTTGCTGCCTACTCAACTGCTTTATTTAAAAAAAAAAAAAAAAAAAAGAAGGGCCACCAACTGCATGAGAAAGGAAAGCGATGTCTGGATATGGATTCTGGCTTCGGACACTTGGCTCTGGGAGGGGGACGCCCAGGTTGGGGATGGGGACGGGGCTCAGCTCACTCCTCCCTCGGGCCCCTCCCCGTGTGCAGACGCGATGTGTTTGGGGATTACACTGTATGCAACTGACTTCCTGTTATGACAAGTATTGCGAGTAGGTGCAGAGGAGCTGGGAATAGCTTGAGAAATGTATGACTCTTTTCGGAGGGAGAGGCAAGGCTAATGTACTATTTAGGCAGACAAGATCAATCTTCTCCCCACATTCGAAATTGATGTCACCTATGAGACAGCACCTCCAGGACTTACGCACCGGATAGACCTGTAAGGTCCGCGGGGCCGTGGTGTTGCTCCTCCTTCTGCCTGTCTGTGTGGGTGAGAGTTTCCACGAAGTTGGGGTCCCCTGACCACTTTTTTTTTGTTGTTGTTCAGCCTTGCAGATATATATACATTTTTGCTTTTTTAAAATAAAGGCTTTCAAATGACCATTTATTGCTTTGCTCTGAAATAAGAAAGGAGGTTGGCTCAGGAATCAGCCATCTGTGTGACCTTGGACCAGTCCTTTCCCTCTGAACCCAGTGCTGAGCTGGGGCCAGCTTGTACAGGCTCATGAGGACCAAGTGGTTGCTCATATCTCTTGCCAACTCCGCATTCAGTGACTTATTGATGGCTTGAAAAAGGCTATAGTGGAGTGTTTTCACCATGGAAATGGGCAAACACTATAACTCTAAACACTAACTTTTTTTCCCCCAGAGAGCTGGTTTTTGTTTCGTTTTATTGAATAGTTTATTGATTTTTAGAGAGAGAGGAAGGGGGAGGGAAAGAGAGAGAGAAACATCAATGTGAGAGTGGAACATCAGCTGGCTGCCTCCTGCACGCCCCCCTGGGGGTGGAGTCAGCACCCCAGGCAGTGCCCTTGACCGGGAATGGAACCTGCACCCCCTGGTGCACAGGACAACACCCAAGCAACTGAGCCACCCCGGCCAGGGCCAGAGGGTTGATTTTAAAACATTTACCAGGACACCAATATCAGGAACTCAGTTTACTTCGTTGTAAAATGAGAACAATAACACAGGTTCCACCTACAAGATTTTGTGAGGATAGAATGAGATCATAGAGGTGAAGTGTGGTTGTAAATTACGTGACACTATACAAATAGTATTGCTAGTTATGTTATCATTTGTATTGCTGTTGTTTGGCTTTAATAGTTTAATGCAGCCTTATGTAGGCACCGCATACCTTTTAATGAATATTCTATCAATGTTCGTCATGGGTGTTTTGTTGCTTCTCTTTTCTGAAACTGCAACAGCACCAGGAAGCATTGTGCACTTATGCATGTGCTCGGAGGCATGTCTGGTGCTGGACTAGAGACTGCACAATGGCCAGTCATGCAGCAATCAAGGTTTAATTTGGTCCTGGGGACAGTAAAGCCACACGTAGAATTCTGCAGCTGAGTGCTTACCATGGCCCTGGGACGTACACAGCCGGAGTCATCTTTGGGGTGTGGAAAATTTGGGTGATCTGTGGGCTTCACGTTTGGGGAATTTCCAGTGACACACTGCTTCTGGGCTCCTGCTGAGACCAGTGCTTGGAGTAGTCAAGCAGCAGCAGGTATAGGAACAGAGGAGGTGTTCCCGGCTCAATCCAGAAAGACTTGAGGCTCACATTTACATGAGAGGAGAGGAGCAAGGGTCAAGCAGGCTTCCTGGAGCCTGTCCTCGTCTTCCCTTACACGGCCCACCCTACGGGCAGGGCCCGCTCTCTTCCCTCACCCGCAAGACCACTCTTGGTATTTTTGAGGGATTTCTGGTGCTGGAATAGATATTGCAATCAAGGTTTAATTTGGTCCCAGGCCCAGTTTTACCAGATTTTACCCATTTTCACCACATTTCTCCTGTATCATGTTGGATTGAGAAGCCCAAATACAATTTACTTTGATGCCCACACCCCAACCCATGGTCCTTACAACGCACAATTAGATCTGACTATCTTTACCCACCACTAAATATCTGTTGTTTGTGTTCTTTACAAAATATGCCTGTAAATAAAGAACTGGAAAATTGCAGTAGGAAAATCGAAGTTGGGTCCATGATTGCTGATAGTCAGCTTTGTGAAATCATAAAGTGACTCAGCAAAGTGCTTTTAGCAAAGCAGTCTCAGTAGTCCTCGTAATCATATCGCTTCCCACTTACACTGTTCCCCAAGTTAAAGGTACAACACTTATTTGACGAGTTAATCAATACTTGAATGGAAGAGATTTTGACAGTGTCACTATGTTTAGTGTTTATATCTACCCTGAATGCTTGCTCACAAGGGGGACAGATTTCCTAATTTTTTTTATAACTTATTTTCTATGTGTCTTGGTGTGGGCCTGTTTGGGTTCTTCTTACTTGGGGCTCTCTGTACTTCTTGAACTTGAATGCCTTCTTCCTTCACCAAAGTAGGGAAGTTTTCTGTCACTGTTTCTTCAAATATATCCTCTAACCCTTGCTCATTTTCTTCTTCTTCGGGGACTCCTATGATGCGAATATTATTACGTTTCCAGTTGTCCCACAGTTCTCTTAAGCTGTCTTCCTGTTTTTTAATTGTTTTTTCATTTTGGTTTTCTGATTGGTTGATTTTTTCTACCCTATCTTCTAATCCACTGATCTGGTCCTCAGCTTCCTCTACTCTGCTCTTTAGACCTTCTTATGTGTTCTTTATTTCTGATATGTCATTCTTCATTTTTTTCTTGGCGGTTTTTAATTTCCAATTAGTTGATTTTCAACATGTCTATGTCTTTACTCATGGTGCTCATGTCCTTACACATGCTGTTGACCTTCCTCAAGATCATGGCTCTGAATTCTATTTCTGTTAACTTGCTTAACTGCACCTCATCTATGTCATCTTCAGTAGAGGTCTCTTGTTCTTTCATTTGGCTTTCATTTCTGTGTTTCACCATTTTGGCTATCACAGTGGGCTTTGGAGCCTGCCAAGTTTTCCCTGTGGGTGTTGGTGTTCTGCTGTTTGTGGCTCCCTCTCCTGGGTTTGGATGAGCCAGGGAGGATCCACATTAAACACCACTGTCAAGTCTTACTTTCCTGATTAGAGTTGCTAGCCCAGGAATGGTACAGTTATCCTCTAGCTTTTTACCTGGAGGCTATCATTAGCAATTACCTGAAGAGACTTGGGTTCTCAGTTGAATGAAAAACTCCCTCAGGTGCTCAGCGTAAGGGGATTTCCAAAGGGGGGGCAGATGCTGGTTGTTAATGGGCCTCAATTTGCATTTCAATGGCCAATGGGTGGGGTTGAATCTCTGAGGGAGGGGCCGCTGCCTCCTCAGAGCCCTGGGAAGGAGTAAGATGACCACAGTCCTGTGTGGCTGCAACTCAGCAAAAGCTCTGAGTGCCCTCCAAATCCTGAGTGTCCCCACACAGTTCCAATCTAGTCTGCCTTCCCTCTGCCAGAGCCCAAGGTGAGTGGCTGTAGCTATTTTAGCCTCTGTCCGGGCTCTGCGCTGTGGAGCCACTTGGGAGTTTCACCCGAGGGTGCTGCTCACAGCTAAAGCCGCTGTTGTCTGTGGGCTCCCAGGCCCCCCTCTTGCGCTTCCGCAATCCTACCAGGATTGATCAGTGTCCCTGGTTTATATGGTCCTCCAATTTATAACTTATTTTCCCATTGCTCCAAATAATTTGCTATTATACTAGATTCTCTCTACACTTCTGTCGAGATGGGGGTGGGGGTGGGAATAGATGAGCCATCATGAACATAACTAGCTTATGAAAATGCTTGTTTTTAAGGAAGTTGGAATTATTTAAAAATTGCCCAGGATTGGGAGTTAAAAGATCTGGGAGGAAAAGCCCCTGGCTCCATCTGAAACTACGTCTGGCCTCATGCAGGTCACTTCTCCTCTGGATCCTCAGCAACCTCCTCTGTAAAGTGAAGAGTTTGAGTGATCCTAAATTCTCTTCTCTGTCTAAACATTCTCTAATCCTGACTTTAGGAGTTTCTTTGGCCTATAGTCAGATTTTGACCACAGACCATCCTCCACCGAGTTCAGACAAAGGTAACAAATTCTGAGACAGCAGGAGTTATTTTTACATGACCAGTAAGCCTTTAAAAGCCCAGGAGCCCTCCAATGAAGCTACCTCCATAACCCTCTTCTTAAATTTAAATGTTGTTTCCTGTCCTTTCTACTTATGTTTCTCCACCACCTCCCTACACCAAAAAAAACAAAACAAAACAAAACAACCCCTCATGTTTTCTTCCTTTTTAGTTCTTGGAAAACAGCATACAATCACTTTGTCTTCTTGAGCTGCGTCATGTCACCTGTGCAAACAAGAACAGAGAGAGACGTCAGCCTTCAGGGTTTCCCTAACAGGTTCTTCTGTAGGTAGACATTCACCCTGTCTCGAGGCAGGGGAAAGTTGAGGATGATTTCCCAAGGCAAAAGGATGTCCTTTAAGGAGTTCTAAAAAACTACCACCACTATCGCAAGGGCAAGAAGCCACCCTGCTGTCTCCCCGTGGTGCTCGGCTCAGCCCGCCAGGTGACCCTCGGTGCCGCTGGCCTGCGTGTGACTCTGTACGTCAAACATGAGCACTGATTGCTGTTGTTTTTGGCCACATATTTGCAGGCTGTACACACTCCATCAACAAACTCGGAGACTTTGCATATGGAGACAAAGAGACCACATCAACTTAGAGAGGAACTAGAAGAATGAATATTCACTTAATTAGAGGTGGTTCTGCGACTTCTCACCATATCAACTTAGCCTGGGTAGAAAAGTTCTTGCGTATTGATTAGTCTTTAGTAAGCTCATTAAAGGGTCTTTATTCAGCTGAAATTTTAGCATTCGATTTCTAGCATGACTTCCATTCAGCCAACAAGTGTTCACCTCCTTATTTAATAGAAATAAATCTTTGCATAAGCTTTGAAATGTCGAAAACTTTATTAACTTATTATCCTTTCTACTGGCAAATGCTGTCAGTTTTACTCTGGCAACTTGTTTCAACTCCGTCTCTTCTCGTTCCTTCTGGAAGTGAGAGCCGTGTTCCTTCCAGCTCTGTAGTACCACGGCGCCTCTGCTCCACCTTTAAACCCTGACCCCCCACCCCCTTCAGTCACATCCTTAACAGTAAACACAAATGTCTTCCTACTTTGTTTTGCTGGAACTCCCCTTTCCAGAGGGGATACCTTGAAGCCCCACTGTGGCCCCGTCCTCACACTGATTTCCTAGGACAGCCAGCGCCTCATCACAACAGTCCCCGTGACCGTCCTTGTATTCAGGGCTCAGCATGTTCAAGCACAGGCCTCCCCTTGTTCTTGTGACCTTCCTCAGCCCAGGCCGTAGTGTCTCCAGCAGAGCCTCTCTGACGTCTCCCGCGGTCCGGGTTCACGCTCTCATTCGAGCTTCCTCTTAGGTTTTATTTTTTATGCGAAGTCTCTCCTCTCCGATTCGGTCTTCTCTACACGTTAAGTCTATAAGCACTACATTCTGCTAAATAACACATTTATTTCCTCAGCTTCAAGAGCATGGGCAATATAAACTTCTCAAGTTTGTCCCCCCGTGGTCATCCGGAGGGTGCTGAAGGCGTTTGTGATCCACGTTGTTTACCAACCCGCGGTGCTTTGAGGCCGATTATAACCATAACCCCACTCCTTCGACTGCAGGTGCCAAGGAGCAGAGACTCCATCTCCACTGAAGAAACGCAGCAGGACATGGAGGCCTGGAGAGAAGCAGGAGTAGAAGCAGAGCAGGTAGCTCCTTCCCCGGGACCAGCGTGTCTCACGCCCAGCACTAGGCAGCTAGATGGAGCTCTAAGAAATTCTCACACGCCCACCAATGTGCTAAAGAAGGCACCGTCCCCCAAAGTGTATCTGCGTGGAGCTCCCACATCATGTCATTCCGCAGAGACTTAATGGCGTGAATACAACAGATACAACATTTTTCTTTCTGTTTCTACAAGTCGGGGGGGCGTAGAGCCTTAGTCTTGCCTTCTCATGGGGCTGAGCAAGTGGTTTCCAGGCTTCTCTGAGTCTTCAGAAATCCTCTCTTACCACGTTTCCACAGTGCATGGCTAGAGATAAGGAAGCTGTTGACTTAATAATAGATCATGTATCTTACCAAAGTTCACAAAATAGATGTCCAACTCAGACGGGGAAATAATGTTTGTTATCACTTTTTTCTTCACAGATGGGAGTTTTTCCTGGGAGAACACTTCCTGGTTAGCGAGTTAGGTGCCCTCCTGGCTTTAGTCCTTTCCTATCCTCGTTAGATGGTACCAAGGAGTAGAGATATTTTAAGCCAAACATTTAATGTTTATCTTCTGCAAGATCCAAGCATTTTCTGCTGGTATGGTAAAGGAACCATTCTTTTAAGCATATGTAACTATACATCTTATTATTTCAATAGTCAGAACACATACTGTAAAAATATACTGTCCACAAAGATTTACACCTATGTGTCTACAAACACAAAAGCTACTGCTAGACTTCAAATTCAAAATCTGAAGAACATTTGCCTAGTTTTAGTGGGTTGGCTTGGAAAAGGGTGAGAAGGCAGATGCGTAGGGGGTATGAGGCCTCAGAAGGATGAGCTCCGAGCACCAATGAATACAGTCGCAGGACAAAAGTTGCAGGAAATAGTGGAGCTGAGGGCTTGCAGTAAAGAGGCTGAGGAAGAGGGATAAGGAATAATCTAGAATGGACTATTTAGGGAGAAGAAGTTAGGACAAGAGAGGCAAAAATGCTTCAGAAATACATGAGGAGTCATTTTACGATAAGATTCTTTTGTTATGAAATGAGCAGGGACAACAAGCAAGGCAGACCGTAGAACAAATTTCTTCATAGAAAAAAAAAAAACCAAGGAGGTAGACTAGATGGCCTCTAAGCAGCTTTTAACAATAAACCCTCCTTCTTTGAAAAAGATCTGCTCTAGAGCAAGTAATAGTAAAGGAAGGTTTTAATGTCATTGTGCCCAAGGCACCATCATGAGGTCACTTGGCCATACTGGAATCTTCAGTTTATAATCTATACTTAGGAGGGAAAGGATCTATGGTCTCAGGCCTGAGCACATAAGCCTCAGGGATGTAAGGAGAGGGGTCATGGGCTTCAAGGCCGAAATGGAAGGCCTCCTATCAGTAGTAGGTGTGGCCAGAGAGGCAGTCAGTTTATTGTCTGTCCCTGACTCCCAACTGGGCCAGACAGGGCCTCAGGATTTCAGAAAGCAGAGAGTCCAATGAATTCTAGCTTGAATTAGGCTGAGCTCCTATTTCACTCATGAAGTTTTTCAGGAACTGCACCATCCCTGTCAATTTGCGTTCAGTTAGATTGTAACTTTTAATTGCCTTAGCTGGGGAAACTGATAATTCATGCAAAAAATAGAAGGGGAGGATTGGAATATTCACGTAGAAAAGAAGGTTTCCGATTTTTGCTGGAGAAGGAGATTAACAGCAACAGTGACCAACCCTATGTGCCCCGCCCTGTTCTTGGTGCTAGACACTTCCCAATTGTGTAGAGTCCTCTAGGATCCTAGAAGGTGGATACTAATATTGCATCCATGATGCACAAGAGAAAACTGAAACAAAAAGACACTGAGTGCCTTGTACAGTGTCATAGGTTTGCAAGCGCTAAGAACAAGGTAGGAACCCAGGCAGCCTGGCACAGAACTTCTAGCCACTGCTTCCCACCGCATCACCAATGCACTTATTTGAATTTCTGTTCTTATCCAAGGAATCTCAAGGCTGTGGAAGGAGGTGAGAAAGCAGGGTTAGCCCTGGATTTGGATAGAGTAGGTGGCCACTTAGTAGGTGGTCCCATAGATCCACAACAGAAGGTTTGGAGAGGGACTCAGAGAGTGAGGAACCACATGGTTGACTGTCCGAGCCTAGACAATGCTACACCGTATGTCCACTGGCCCAGCAGGCATTAACCAGGACCCAGCGGAGATGTGCAGCTGCTCTGTTTAGAAGTCATCTGAATGGTATCGGCACAGGTCACCCAGTTGAGGGAAGCCTTAGAGTGTTTTAAGCAGACTAAAACATGGGAACATGTGTTCACATAGATAACTTTGTTTAGTTTTAGGCAGTTTAAAAGAGTACACCACCACTGAGGTTTTAAGTGATCTAACTTCTTTTTTAATGCTCATTCAACCATTTGTAATTAAGATCTGTTCAGAGTTTAACATCATTTATGATCCTGTTCTGATGCTATCTATCATGAATGACTTCACTCATTCTATTCTTAAGGACTTAAAAATCTAGAGAGAGGACAGACACAGCAGTCTATCCCTCATGTAAGCATTCACATATGCACGATGTCAATGAAGGCCCACATGGTGACGCCGGCCTGTTTGTTCATTGGGACCTAATTATAGTGAAAAACTGGATCTCATACTTAAACTACAAGGCTTAGTAAAAAAAAAGCTTGGTGTTGAAAATAATGACTCAATAATATTAAATATAGTGAAAATTTTGTTTTTTAAATCAGGAGATGTTTTAGAGTTACTGCTTAGCAATTTTAAAAGTAATCATGATTGGACTAAATACAATTGATTAGAAAAGTTATTGTTCTCTAAGCTCTGATTAATCAATTTTTTTCTCTGCACATCTTTGTCTACCACCTTTTAAATAGATTTGTTTATTCCTTTTCTTCTTTTTTTTTTATCCTCATCCAAGGACATTTTTGGACTTATCTTCAGATAGAGTAGGAGGGAGAGGTGGGGGAGAGAGGGAGAAAGAGAGAGAGAGAAACATCCATGTGAGAGCGACACATCAATTGGTTGCCACCCACATAACCCCAACTGGGACCGGGGACAAACTGCAACCGAGGTACGTGCCCTTAGCGGGAACTGAACCCGGGACTATCTGGTACGTGGCCAACGCTCTGACTGCTGAGCCAAACCAGCCAGGGCTCTTCTTCTTCTTTTAATTATTTTTTTGAAAAATATAGATTTGGGGATGGCATCAAAAATCTTTACCCCGAATTTCAAGAAGCCAAAACTACTTAGAATTAGATATCAACACATCTGAAATGTCAACACTTTTTTTTTTTTTTCCTGAATAGTTCCCTGTGTTTTGGAGTCCTGATTTGGGGAGTAATTTTTAGTATTCCATATCTTAAGTGCTTTCAAGGAGGATATTGCCTTTGGGACTTTCTTAACTAGTTAAATTCTCCACAAGTAGAAAACATGTGAAAAAGCCAAATTGCATGCTTATTTATCGAGGGTCTCAGTCTTCTCTCAGAAATATGCACTCTTGTACTGAAGCCTCTGAAACTGGTGTGTGTGTGTGTGTTTATTGCACACACAGCTTACGTTTTCACAGCAGTTCGTAGATTGGGCGGAAGATGCCACTTTTGCCATTTCTATTTTGATAGAACAGAATGGAGTGTGGGTGTAAAATATGAGGGGCTGTGTGTGACTCTTGCCTTCCTTATATACAAAACCAGGATCCAGTTCCTGTACTTCTCCTTGGGTGGGGAAAAATCATGGCTATTTTGCAGCCTGACTCTTTGGTGGCTAATTTTCCAACAAAATAATATTTGGGGCATTGGGATGTGGGGGAAGCAGGGAGGAGAATAAAATTTTCCATTTTAAAACTAAGTTAAGATTATTTTTTTTCTTATGAAGAAGCAACATGGTTCTACCCACCTATAATTAGAAAGCTTAGCTTGCTGACATAGCCACATTGCCCAAGACCCTGTCTTAATGAGAATTTCAATCTCAGGTACAGGATGTGATCTTATCTGGTAAATGCTATGCTAAAGGTTGAAAAGCAACCTAATGAGAAAGGGATGGGAACTCATCCCGGAAGGCACCACTGAGGTTGGAAGAGCTAAAAGGGCCCTTTCCTTCAAACCAAACCAAATCAAAACAAACAACAGAAAATCTTGACATTTAAACATCTTGTATCCCGCAAGCCCTTACTTAATGGACCCTGAGTTCATTTTTTCATGCTGGGGTGGTGACAGCTTAATCTCTGGGTCCTAAATTCTCCAAAGATTATTTTTCGCCTCAAAGGTAAATGAGGTGTTGTTGTGGGAGGAGGGAAAATAATTTGATGGGGTTCTTTGACAAAGTATGAACTTTCCTCAGGCTTTTCCTTTGCCCACCTTGGTAAGACCCAACTGAGTCCTTGGACAAAGGCATCAAGCACCAACTACCTTCTGCTTTGAACTAGTTCCTCCTGTTTCCAGGAGGAGTGAAGAGAGGGCAAGGAAGTGTCTCTGCAGGTAAAATAGAAATAAACTGACCCCATTTCCAATGGTTGAGCTTTTCTCCAAGTAGGTAGATGCTGGCACTAGAGATGAAGCAGAGAGGGAAATGTACTGCCCGACCAACAGGGCCAAGTTTCTCCAACACAGGATACACCCACGTACCAGTCTCAGAGTAGATCCATAAGATCCTGCAGAAAATGACAAGACACAATGATTAGAGCAATAGGGGGAAAGCTATTTCCTTCTTAGATCCACGAGTTCTACAGCTCAGGCACATGAAAAGAAGCCGTGGGGGATATTTGTCAACAGTTCAGGTGTTCCACAAACCTGCAGAAGTGCGTCTTTCCTAGATAGACTTGATTCGGCGAGACATCCTGTTTCATGGGCTGGGCTGGGCTATTTTACCTAATCTATCAAATTCAATGGTTGGTGACACAATATGGGAGGACATTGAACACATCATTAGTCAAAGATAGTGTGGGAGAACATGAATCATTCCTTTCCCTGGGAGTCATGACCTGCTGAGACATTGAGCCTGCTCAGATGGCATCCATTTGCTGGCTCTCAGCCAGACAGGTGGGCTTTGCATTGCTGTACCTAAGACTCGTGCATAGCTTTCCAAGTCTGTTGGGGTAGGAGGGACAGAGATTGAGCATTATTACTCCAACACAATATGCCTGGGGTTTAATTGTTGGCCCTGATTTTACCTCCTGGATATAGCCATGGATAGAGTGTTAAGTAGGAATGAATGGAACCACAGGAGGCTCAGATCTTGCTGATGCGAGGCTAGGATATAAATCATTTTTGTAAGCCAAGAGAATAAAGAAAATGCTAGAAGAGGAGGCACAATGTCTTAAGTGCCGCCTAAAAATGCAGTTTTCTGGAAATCGACTACACCGGAAGATGCCAAAGTCTGAAATAACTTTTAAAATGAAATATAAGAAAGATGATGTATCAGCTACACTTTATAATTGGTTAAGAGTATAGAACCTGGAACCGGGCTTCCATGATCTGAATCCTCGTTCTGCCACCTGGAAGTCATGTTGCCTTCAACAATTTATTCATCCTTCTGTCCTTGCCCTCGTGTGTAAAGCAGGGGTGCAAATGTCATGTGCCTTATAAGGCCATTGTAAGGATTAAAGGAGCTAACACATGTGAAATAGAACCTTGCCTGGCACATTGCAGTCATTTAATAACAGTTTAAAAGCTTTTCTCCTCTGGGGAATGGCACAGGGGGAGGCTTCTCTGCAACCTTTCTTTTGTGACTGTTCATCTCTGGTAACAATTAGGATGGGCTAGGTTTTGCTTCATAAACAACACTCAAATTTGGATACTTCAAGTTATCAAAGGATGGAAGAATAAAATTCTGCGCTTACTTAAACTTTCAGCAACCCAAGTGTGACCTTGATTGTCTCCAATACTTGAAGTTTGTCAAATGCTTGTGAGGAGTTGGAAGAGAAAGGGAGGAGGAGGAGGACAGTAAAAAGGAAGAGGGGGAGAGGAAGAAAGGGAAGGAAGGACTGAGGGAGGGAGAGAAGGAAGAAAGGGAGGGAGGAGGTAAGAAGCAAGGAGGGGAGGGAGGAAGGGAGGGAGAGGAAGGACTGACTTAGCAAGTCCAAAATGGAATTCGTCATGTTCTCTGTCTCAGTGTCAGCTTTTCCGTAACCCCCCGGGGGAGATTCCATCCCATCATATCGAAATGGTTCTCCAGTGCACCTGCTTTACGATCTCAGTCCAGGTTCCCCCATCTCCTTTAGGTTTCTGTAATCATCTACTCTTGGGCTTTCTTCTTCTTTCCATCCACTTTCCATACCCTAGGCCAGTGGTTCTCAACCTTCCCAACGCCGCGACCCTTTAATACAGTTCCTCACGTTGTGGTGACCCCCAACCATAAAATTATTTTTGTTGCTACTTCATAACTGTACTTTTGCTACTGTTGTGTCTTAGGAGACCCCTGTGAAAGGGTCGTTCAACCCCCAGAGGGGTCGTGACCCACAGGTTGAGAACCACTGCCCTGGGCCACCATGAATCCAACACTCTTTGTAAAAGAGAAATCTGTTCACGGCGCACCCCTGACTCCAGTGGATCCCTGTAGCTTTAGGAAAATATCCAAGCTCCTTTACCGAGCCTGCCTGGCCTTGCTCTGCACACCCATCCACCCTCAGATCTGTAGTCCATCCTACTGAACCCCTTTCTGTTTCTTGAAGGAACCACGGTCTGCAGCTCCTAGACCTTCACCTGTGCTGTTGTCTCTGCTTGGAACACCTCTGGCCTTTCCGCCTCCTGGGACTTCTCCTGGCTTTGGGTCTGGCTGGATCATACTCGTGCTTCCAGTCTCGGCTTAACAGTCCATTTCTCTAGAGAAGATGTCCGAACCTCCTTAACTCTCATTCAGTTATGTTCTTCCGCCCTGTGCTGCCCCTACGTGAACGTACCCAGGCTGCCTACTGCACTGGCTTCCTCACTCGCCTGCAAGCTCTGCAGGACAGGGATCACACGTGTCACGCACATCAGTTTCCCAAATGCCGGGATAGGCAGCTTCTCGACATCCTTAAATGAACGGCTGTTTGGGTGGGTCTGCCAGCACCTGGGGTGCCCTCTGCTGCTGCCCATTGCAGCGGCCTCGATGGTTCTCAGCCGCCGGCCCACAGGAACCCGCCTCTGAAAGCTGCAAATGCACCCAGGAGCCTTCCAAATCAGTCAGTCTGATGCTCACTCTGAGAATGCCCTGAAGAAGCTAATGGTTCTGACCCTTAGCTGAGAGATCAATAATAAATGTTCTTCTGGAACTGTCTGCCATGTGAATGTGTGTGAGTCAGGGCGGGCAGGGTGGCGGCCAAAATTAATCCTACAGTCTTCTCAGCCTACATCTTGTAGCATTAACTGATGATCATGAAATGCATATTTTCTGCGTCTCATCAGTAGGGAAATCGTGGAAGCCCGTGGCACCCACCGCGCCATGTCTCGGTCCACCTGCCTTCCCAGGCTTTCTGCTCATGCCATACGAGATGCTCCAACCAAATGGGAACCATGACGTGTTAAGAACAACCTCTAGCTTTAATAGCTACAAAAATGACATCTGACTTTGAACATTAAGTTGTGGATTTCTACCACTGTCTTAAAAAATAAAGTCCTATCATGATTTACTTAACGTTCAATAAATTTTAGATGAAACAAAAATAAGCAGATAGAGAGACGATAGATAGGTAGATAGAATGAAAAGAAATTGTGAAGCGAGATTGTTAGATACACAGTTTACCTGGGTGTTGAAAGTGCTGGTAGTAATGAGAGATGAAGTGCAACCTCTTCGTGGCATTTAAAACTGTTGCCCCCCCTTTGGAACACTCCCTTCTGATTTGTTTTTGTCCTCACCCGAGGATATTTTTCCATTTTTTGTTCAGATAGAGTGGAGGGAAAGAGAGAGAAACATCAACGTGAAAGGGACACATCGAGTGGCTGCCACCCGCATGACCCATCCAGAGCCAGGGACAAACTGCAACCGAGGTACATGCCCTTAGCAGGAACCGAACCCGGGTCTCTCTGGACAGCAGACCGATGCCCTAACCGCTGAGCCAAACTGGCCAGGGCACTCCCTTTTGATTTAAAGTTTCCCCTTCTCTTCAGGGGACCATGAGTTTCTTGTACAGTCCTGGTTTTCTACCATCTGGTTATTCTTTGCTACTTTGCTGGCCCCTTGTCCCTCCTGTCCCTTAGATAAGGTCATTTTCTTAACAATTTACTTCCCACTTTTCTCCTCTTCCCTTCTGTCTGTTTCTCTGTCCTCTCTTCCCCTCGCCCTCCCTCCACATCTGTCTACTACAGCAATCTCAACTCCCTGGATCTCTGTAGCCAGGTTTGATTTTCCACATGGAAGTTCCTCTAAGCAAGTGGTTCTCAGCCTTGGCTGATGATTAAAATAGCCTTTGGGGCTTTAAAACTTCAGGCCATATCCTGAACCAATTAAATCAAAATCTTTTGGAGTGAGACTCAGACATGGGATTCTAAACCGAGTTTTTTACTTTTACCCCAGACTATTTCTTTCCTAACTTCTCTACGTCTACTCATGAAATCACTATCTTCCCAGGCTGCTGGCTGAACATTCTTAGAGTTATCCTTGATATTTTCCTTTTCACTTGCCTGCTACATGCCAATTACTCCACGGAACATCTCGGTATGTCCCCAGCCCTGATTGCACAGCTGTGTCCCTCTTCAGGTAGCTCGTATTTCTCATTTCTGTCACAGGCATGTTGGGTGAGCTGGAGTGGACAGGGAGGGTGAGAAGCGTAGACAGCTATTTTCTCCCCTAGCCCTCTGCCAACACCCCTCTTCAGTGTGCACACCGGCTAGCCTGGACCCCGGGCGTTGATCACAAGGGGAGTTGGCATTTTTATATTGTTTTTCATCTATTAATTTACATAGAGCGAAGGGGTCCCTCTGTGGAAAAGGGAGGCTGAGATTCCGATCCCCGCAAAGATTTGAGGTTATAAAACTGGTGCATCTAAACGATCCCCGGAGGAGGTCGTATTTCAGGAGAGAGTAGCAGTAGTTCTGCGAGAGGATTCGCACGGCGCACTAGTGGGAGTGGAAGCGTATTGTCGATGCCGGACGTGGCAAGGTGGCTGATCCTGGAACGCGGCTCCAGGTATGATGTTTATAGGCATAAGTGTGTGTATGTGTGTGTAAATGGGTGCATTGATTTGGAGGATTGTTAACGCTCGGGGCCCTGGCAGCTTCAATGTGGTCTTCGCCTGAGTAAGCAGAGTACAGAAGAAAGGAAGCATCTCTCTTGTCTCATACAAACTGCTCCTGAGAAGGTGACTTTGCAAGTATCTCCCCCAAGGCTGGCTCATGGCTGCATATCTGCACAGCACTTGCCCTTGGCGTGCAGAACCTCACACACTAGCAGACAGATCTGTGGCGTCAGCAGATGTCTGGTCTACCAAGAGCAAGGTGGTGATACATTCCAGGCTAGCTGGGGTGGCTGCAGTGGCCAGCACCACTGTTCTATGTCTGCCCACTTCGGTGCAATGGTAGCGTGGTGCCGTTAGCAGGGGGTGGGATGCAAGCAGAGCCCGGTGGAGATGCTGGGCCCAGAAGACTAGGCACTGTGGCTCTACAGTCCGTGTGGGAGGGCAGTGCTCAGGACTGTACAGCACGGGCATGTGTGAGCACTCATGGGATTCTGAGAACTGCGTAGGGGTGGAGGTTTGGGAGGACTGGGCCGCCTGCAGCCAGTTGGAAGGTGCTCTGAGAATCGGGCGTGGGATGACACTGGCACTAGGAAATAACCATGGATGAAGAATAAGACAGTGATTGAAATAGATGAAAAGAATATTCTGGATAACTTTTATTTGTGTGTTGTTTTATTCTGTTTTGCTCCCCATGTCTTGCCATTCCAATCTATTTTAAGCGCGCTTGTCAAGATAGCCTATTGAAAGCATAATTCTCTGACCATGTTACTAATACTTCCCACCCCCACCTCCACTGCCCAGCGAGACACCACCTCCTCCTCCTGCATGTTCCTGGGGCTCCTTGCACGGGTCCTGACGTTCTATCACTTCCCACTGTGCGATCCCATACCTGGTGTGCGTGGCTCATCTCCACTTACAAGTACAAAGCCGCGACAGGCTGAGGGTTGGCCTTATATAACTTTGCTTTTCCCAGCAAGACCAGCCCTGTGTTAGGAGAAATATTTGTTCAAAAAAAGAACGAATAAGAGCCAGCAGCAGGAACATTTCTATTTTCCTGTTCCTCACCGCTGCCGCAGAGAGAGCTAGGTGAGGTGTTTTGAGGTGAGAGAGAAGGAAGGACTGAGCGAGCTGCCATGTTTTTAGGTGACTAACGCTTTCCGGAGGAAATGAAAGATTTGCAGTTACTACTACTTTGCAAAGCTTGATTTTCCCACTTCGGGGCCAGCCCTCCAATTTTGCAATCTGAAAAATAACAGAAAGCGAGTTTCACATGTGAGGCAGTCCCCACGGTCTCGGTAATGATGTTTAGGTCACTGTGATGTGAGTTCTGCAGGGAAATGCTTCCCCAGCTCAGAGTTATTGCCGTTTTCCTGACTCGTGTTTGTTTCTCACGCTCTGTCTGGCCCGGGCCCATATTCTTGACCTCATTTCTGTTATACCGTTTCCCTATTTGACCATCAAACAGGCACGCCTAACAGCTGACCCACAGCCACTTCTCTGAAACATCTCCATGGATATCCACAGTGTGTGGACTTGTTGATGGCCATCTGTGGCTGTGCGGCTCTCGGGCCCCAGAGCACTGCATAAGGGTGGAGACAGCAGGCAGCGGAGTCTGAGCTCCCTTAACTGGAGAGCGGACAGAAGTAGGGAAGCTTCCGACAGGGGTGCAGCAGATCATGCCCACATACAGGTGTGTTTAATGTATTCTAGGAATAAATGCTGATTTACTACTGATGGCCCACATGCTGATGTACTCCATCAATGAGGAGGAGGTCCAAATCCCAAACCACTGGCTCCACCCAGTCACTTTTCGCTGGGGCTTCCTTCACCGGCTCCCTTGCATCACTTTTCCATCACAAGCACAGTGCTGGAAACAACATCATGAAAGCGTTTGGACAGTAGGGACCATGTTCAGCTTTTTTGAATACCCAACCCTTCCAGCACTTAGCGGAATATGTTTTGCACATGCAATGAGTGGAACAAATACCTGTGAATAGAGTGGAAAGAGAACTGGATTTGGAAACAGACCTGCATGTAAGTCCCAGCTTTGATTTTAACTCGCCCTGTGACATCAGTAATGTCACAGGACCCCCTGAGGCATCAGGCCTCAGGTGCTAGGTGATCTCTAAGTCTCCTCCCACGAGCCTTCCCTAATTCTTTAGAAATTGACAGATACTGTCATCCCCTGGCTAACAGCTAACCTCACAAATGCTTTTCCTCTTTAATTTCCACACTTCAGCCCAAATCAACTTTTTAATCATCTAGCTTACATAAACCGCATCATTTCATTCCTCTGCTTAAAACTTTTCCCACGGAACATCCCTGGGTTTAAGAGTCCAAACTCATCGATGTGAACTCATGATCTGGCTTTTCCCCATCCTGCAATTCAGCCACACCCTCAGCTCCTCCAGCCCTTTCCAGACGGATCCCTCTGCCTGAAGGTCTTTTCTCTGCCTCTTTTGTCTTATTCCTACTCATTCTTTAGTCAGCTTGGCCATTACTTCCTTGAGAAGCCAGTCCTCAACATCCCACATCCCTGTGCTCACCCCCATTACAGTCTCACCAACCTGCCTTCCCATCGTGTGTGCACCTCCTCTCTCCCAGACAGCCCGAGGGGCAGCGGGGTGCCTTGCATGCCGCTCTGTCCTTGGTATCAGCACCATGCCTGGCACTGGTGAGTAACTGAATGGACGTATTTTGCACCTCTTCTCCCCAACCACTGACTTCCTGCATTGTCAGAACACATGCCCAAGTGGACAAGCCAAGCCCTCTTGACCGCTGTTTCTCATCTTTTATGGCCACCACAATTTCCCCCCGGAAATACCAGTGGCCACAGGGGCTCTTGTGCCTTCTTGGTTTCTGAGGAGGAAAAGTGCAAGGGTCAGATTGGAGAATCAATGATCAACTTCCAAGTCCTTAGGTAGAAAAAGTTAGTAGATCAAAAGTACTATCTTATATATGAGTCCAAAAGTGACACTTGGTAAGAAGGAGTAAATAAGATTAAATTCCAACAACAACATAAAAAAAAAAAGAAAAGAAAAAACTAAAAATCCAGAGTATGGAAATTCAGGTACATAATCAACCAGCTACCATCCTGCTTCTCCCCAACACGTACAATGGAAATATCTTTATGGATACCTACTCTTACGCCACCCCAGGTCCCAGGTATTCCATCCTTAGGGATTTCTTCCTTTGGGTTAAGCCAGATGTGGCAAATCCATGGCACATGCCCTGCCCTTCTCCAGCCTCATTCTATTGGCAGATACCGCTAAATGACAGCACAACATTTTTCTGGTAGGGCCTCAGCATCCTTCCCAACACAGTGCTCCAGACAACAACAATCAGTAGCCCTGACCCCCACAACTTCAGCCTTATTCTCTAAAAAAAAAAACCTTTGTTAAAATGCAAAGGCCCCGGGCTGGAGAAAAGGGTGGATCTCGGGATAGGCTGACTGAGCAAGTCTTCTTTAAGACGGAAGACCAGGACTTTGGGCACTCAGGGAAAGGGGGTGCAGGGGGTGGGGAAGCAGACATCACAAAAGGGAAGGGAAGGCTAGGAAGGAGCCACGATCTGAGTTCTGGCATAGAGTTTACTTGCCCCCGTGGAACATGTTCTCTTTCTGGCTTCTGTCTCTGAAAGAGCATTTGCCCATCTGACTGTGCCCACACAGGGATTGGGGGATTACCCAGATTGTCAGCTGTGAGCATTTATGTGGGTCTAGACTGCAGAGGAACATCATGGCCAGCTTCTGCTGTGCAGGTGTCACGCTTGGCATGCCCCTGTCCGTCAAGCAAGAGCGTGGAGTGGATGAGAAAGCTGCACATGGAAAGGGGTTTCCACGCACTGGGTGGAAGACCAAGCACTCTCCCTTGATTACAGATCACTGGGCAGTATTTCTGCAAATTAGTGTCGCCAGGTGGTTGAATGATAAAATCTAGGCCAGCTGCTTAAATGAGCTTGCATGACTCCAGTTAGGCTGTTCTGCAGGCCCCTGGGCAACTGCTCAAATGCCCCCTAGGAGCTCTAGTGCCAGATGATGGTGCAAATAAACCCATAATGATGCAGGCAACAGGAAAGGACTGAACCTAGCATGCTCAACCTGTCAAGTGCCTTTTTAGAAGGAATATATTTAGATGCCTTAGATCATTCAGCTATTCAAACGTTTCATTGCAAGTTGAACAGAAGATGAACATTTTCTTGGGGAAAGTTACATGTGCAGTAGGTTTGCAATGATTAACTCTTCATGAGGAGAGGCACTTGTGACTTGCTGCGTGTGTGCATGCACACGTGTGTGTGTGTGTGCCCATCTATGTATTCTTTTGCCTGTGATGTTTCTATGAGTATCACAAGCAAACAATAAAAAGCTTTCTTACTTGAAAATTTAAAGGGGGCTAAATCCCCATTAACTCAGTATAAAGGCAGTCTTACAGAACAGTATGCTTCTGGAATATTCCTCAGAGACTTGAATGACAAATATAAGTTGATTTTCTCTCTGCAATTCTTACCTCCAACAGTAACCAAAGCCAGCAGTAACCAACAGGGCGAGTCCTTTCTTCTTCCCTGGATAGCGGTGAGGCCTGAGGATGAATTCGACCAGTACGGGGGGTAATATGAACGTGTGCTTGGGGAGAAAAGATGACAAATCACATGTCAGGTGCCTTGGCTTCTTAGCGTTTCTAATTCTCTGTCCCCCTCCTTTCTCTAATCCTCATCCACAACCACCAGAGGAAATTTCCCCAAAGTGGTCTGAGATCATGCTCCTCAATGCCCGAGGACCTACAGTGGTCCTCTATGGGTACCATATGGATCCAAATCCTTCGTCTGGCTACCAAGGGTCTTTGTGATGCACTGTCACCCTCTCTTGTCCTGCTTATTGCCTGCTGCTCCCCTCACCTCACACACACACACACACACACACACTCCTCTGCTGGAACATGGCCGTTTCCTTCGTTCTCCTTTGTCCTCAGCAGCCTGCTCCCACCCTCACACTTCTGCTCATGCCGCCGCGGTGTGAAGTGTCTTTCCTCCCTGTATTCACACCATGCATGTTCTTCACAGCCAGCGCAATCTTCCATGGTGCTGTCTCTGAATGTTCCTCTTGCTAATTTCTCTCACCCAACTTGACTGCATTTATATCCTGTGCTGTGCAGTGTAGCACTTATGATATGTATTCGTAAGATCTTGGGGCCCCGAGAGCACATCTTAGTCTGTCTCTGCATTCCCCATTGCTAGGGGACGCTGTGTGACCATCCTGTGGATGGGAGGTAGGTGTGTGGGGTGTGTGAGAGCCTCCCCCTACAGCCCTCTATGTCCTCCCCACTCCATCCCTGCTTCACCCTCTCCTTCATAACCATCTGTCTTCTCTTGCATCATTCAAACCCTTAACACTACTTTAAAAAAAAAAAAAGTAATCAAGAAAATAAGCCTTTAGTAATAGTGGTGTTTTCAGGTGGAAAGAATAGGGGTGTTTTCAGGTAAAGGCCTGCCCCCCTTGGTTATGGGAACTGCTCAGGGGAAGGTAGGTGACTTTAGTTTATGTGCAATGTCCTTTCATTTACCAAACACATTAAATTCGCCCTTCTGCCATACTCTGGGCTTACTGGGAACATCTCCTGGTGTTCGCATCGTACCGTTTTCCCATTCACAGCTGTCATTCTTGCTCCCATAGCCTTTACCGCAAGCTCCACCCATTCCCACGCTGCGTCCCAAGGCAGGAGTCCCTGGGGCTTGGACGTCACCGTGCCCGGGTGACCTGCTCCCTGCCCGGCTAGGCTGTGGGACCCTGGCCAGGGCCCCGGAAGGCCTTCACTGTCTGTCCGTCATTCCTGTGCTCAGAGGTAGCCCTGGGGGGCAGCGGCTTCCTCTTGCCTTCCTGACCTGGCTCGGGTACAGTCAGGAGATCGAGACCATTAGGTGACAGGAAATGAGACAAGTGCTGATGGGCAGAAGGGGACGAGAAGGAACGAGTCTGAAGTCCAGGGTATCACTGGGCAGAGAGGGCCTCCTGGGGCCCTCTCAAGGCTGCTGTTGGGTGGCGCAGGGCAGTTCGACCTCTTAAAGGCCGTGGGTACCCACATTTTGTAGCAAAGTGTAGAGAAACAGCATTTCGGACAAACCAAAGCTTCTACATACTCTGTCCAAGTTGGTCCTGACCACACTGACTGGTTGGATATGCAAGTGGCAAGACTTCTGAATCTGGCCTTGGACATTCCTGAATTTGAACTTCAGCTTCCTTGGTTGTGACGTGGGATAGGGAACAGGTGCACCTGTGTCAGGGTGCTGCTCTGAGGGCTGAGAAAAGTGTGTGTCACCGGCTGGCTCCTTGGCCCAGGAGACTTGCAGTGAGCATCAGCCGTGATTGTGGCTCTTCTTGTGATACATATTGCTCTTCCGCTCACTGCTGACCCAATGGGGGTGGGGGAGGCAGAGTTTGGGTGTCCACGGCCCAGGGCACCGGGTGCTCGGGTGCACCTGGCCTGCAGCCTGCAGGAGGGTGTGGCATGAGAGCAGCTGGGGTGTGGCAGCAGAGTTGTTCCCGCGGCCACCCCATGACCCCCTCCTCAGCCCACAGCTGGGGCCTGTGCTCCTGACTGTGCACTGCAGAGCCCTGGCTCGCCCTGCGACAGACATCCATGCTCTTCTCACCCAGAGGCCACCTCAGGAGGTAGGGGATGGGCCTGTCCCCCCAGCAAAGCCACTGCCTCTCCACCTGCCTCCATTCTGCCACAGCCAGGAGAGATCTGACTTCTATCAGCAACCATTAACAGTCCCATTAGACTGGCCATTGATCTGACGGGTTTATTAACCCTGCCCACCGTCAGCAGCTTCCGCTCTCTCCATCAATGATCATTTGGAACAGAATTCCTGCGAAACAATGCAGTGCGTTTGCATTAGGAGAAAATGAGTTCACAGTGATTAATGCTTTTACAACAAATAACTCAGGGATGCATGACTGGTCACCTCTTCTAGGAGCCTGCCCTTTGCAAGTGACATTCAATTGAATTTCCAAATGAATTCTCCCTGATGACTTCTGGGAAATTTACATCAGTGATGTCATTAGTGACGGGCCATATACTGTAGCTTAATACCTACTAAAAGGTCTTTAAAAGAACTACATTTTTTTTTTTTGGTTGGGCTGGCAGTAGCAATGAGGGAAGGAGGAAGAACACATTCTGTGAGCTTTCTAAATATTTAGCTACTGTGAGGAGCCAAGCGTGACACAATAAACCTCGTGGTATTTCCAACGTATGGGGATTTCACCTCATGCAGTTATAAATTATATAACCTTCGTCAGACAGCACATATTAAAAAAAAAAAAAGAGGCAGAGAAAAATTTAGTAAGAGAAAAATCAAATATGCTTTCTACTTCCCCAAAACTCTAATAATTAGGCTGGATTGACACAAATTAGAACGCTGCCAAAAATCGCTCAAAATAGTGACTCATTCTGTATTTCAATTAACAGTTTCTCGGCTTCCCTTATAAACAGTGAAGCTGACAAAAATTAATTATCTCTGAGGGGGTAAAATATTTCCTTCCAAAGTAAATAAAGCGCCATGGGCTAAAACAATAGTGTGTGAACAGAGGTGATGGAAGAAGCTGTCTTTCCTCGTCAATTAAGCTATCATTTGAGTAGATTTTTCTTTAAATATCTCCGTTTAAAAGCATCAGTTAAGAGGACCGTGTTGTTCTTTTCCCCTCCTTTTCTACTCAGCCATGCCTTTCCTCCAGTCCTTGGTATAATGCCTGCTTCCATTTGGATAGAGCTATAAGCATGAAATATTGATTTAGGCATTAGTATAACAATTGCCATTTAGGATTCCCGGTTACAAAATAGCTTTGCAGATAAGTACTAAAATCTACCAGCCCATAGAACATTCTTACAAGGTTACATGAGTGGCAACATGGAAAATAATGAGCACTTACTTTGATTCATCTCATACCAGTGGATAAGCAGCTGTTCCACACACCTTCCCTGTGTGTGAAGCTAAGCTTACAATGGGATACATGTGCCTGCCCGGCTCTTGTGAAAGGGGCCAGGTTAGTTCCTGCTGAGGCAGCCATGGAGCCCACAGCTCCTCACTGTCACACAGGCAGCGAGGACTGAGTCAGTAAGGCTGGGATGGTCACACTCTTATCTCTAAGGTCCAGCAGGGGTGGGGGAGGGGGGCAAGTGTTTTTAATTTTCTCCAGTGAGAAAAATTCAGGGAGCCTCTACATTTTAAATATCAGATAACATTTTAAAATATGATCGCTGTCTCTTCTCTATTTTATATGCTTGTTGAGCTAGTTCTTGTGTTAGGTTGACACAGATCGACAAAACAGCTTCTTCCTTCTTGGCCGGGAAATGGAGAGCTTCTCACTCATAAGCTGTTTCTAATGAATTTACCGAATGCTGCCCATTTTATGTTTGCCTGTCTTGTGCCTCCCCCTGCTCAGGCAACACTTGGATCTGAGAATTAATTTCTTCCATTGGCCCTTCCCAAATTGATGTCCCCTCCCCAAGTCCCTGAGATAATATCTTTGGTTTATGGTACTCATAGGTAGAAAGTTTTTTTATTATATTTTTTTATCCTCACCTGAGGATACCTGTCCATTTTTTGTTCAGATAGAGTGGGAGGGAGGGAGAGAGAGAGAGAGAGAGAGAGAGAGAGAGAGAGAGAGAAACATCGATGTGAAAGGGACACATTGAGCGGCTGCCACCCGCACAACCCAACCAGGGCCGGGGACAAACTGCAACCAAGTTACATTCCCTTAGCGGGAACCGAACCTGGGTCTTTCTGGACCGCAGGTCAATGCTCTAACCGCTGAGCCAAACCGGCCAGGGCATAGGTAGAAAGTTTTAAATCAAGTTTTATCGCACCAATAAGATCTCATTTCTGGGTACATTAAGGAGGATATTTTTGCTTAGTGTATATATATATATATATATATATATATATATATATATTTTTTTTTTTTTTAAATTTATTTTAAAAAATGAAAGCCTTTACAAAATCTCCTCAGGGCCAAACACATGGTCAAAACATCAATTAAAACTTAAACATAAATACAGCAGGCATGAAAACAGAGGCAAAGCAAGCCTTAATAGAATGCCCAGCTTGTTATTCCAGTGCTGGGTCACATGTCTTAAAAAATGAAATGCAGTAATCATTGTTTTGTAAATCCTTGTGACACAATCTCTGGTTTGGATCATACCATCCATTTGCCAGCTGAAAACTTTTCCCTCACTCCAACCACCTTCCCTCACAGCAGTGCCTGCCTCTAAACATCCAAGCTCTGTCGTTCCTGCGCGTTAAAGATGAGATGCTGCCTAAGTCAACTGATCACGGCAGCCCTGGCATGTAGACAGAAGTGAAATTGCTTATATCTCTAGGGGAAAAAATTCTTCTTTTACTCTTTCACCTACACTACCTGCAGGGGTCTCTTTTTTTGGGTCTCAAATACTAGAGTTTAGAAGATGATTGGATTTGTAGAATTTCCCTTTTCCACTCTCGAGGAACTCAAGTGCATAGGCCAGGCAGCACTATAATTAGTCAATGTTCAAATGCCCAGGAGCGGGGACTCAAGGTAAACCACCCACAGAGAGCCACAGGCTTCCCTTTGATCTCCCTGGCAGCCCC